GTAACTGCGACGAGGGAAGAACGAGATGCACCTGTGTGAATCGCAGCTTCTCGGGATTTTCTGAAACATTCAGATCCGCTGGATTGCAAACAAGGACGACTCAATCTATAAACATTCCCGCCGTTAATCGTTGTGTAATATCGAGCTCGTGTAACAATTACGCGATACTCGATTTTATTGCGTGGATAATCGTATTACAGATCGATGTGCAATTCGTCTTCGATCCTTGCAACTGGATCGAAGATTCAACGGTGGTTGTTCACCCCTTGCCACACATAACTGTGTCAGCGTGAAGTTGTCAAAGATATATATCACTCGATTCTTTTCAGTTCAAGTTAAGTATGCTTACAAGAGACATTGTAGGGCAAGAAGCGAACTCTTGGTAGTGTGTCAGCTCTGACATTGCTTGTAACACTATTATTAAACTAAATATTTCTTGTGCATTCCTCGCATTACTCATGGTGAAGACTTTAAAATAGAATTTAACAAACCTAAACGAAGGTCCAAAGTTCCAAAGTTCCAAATTTCCCAAAGTTCAAGGGTCAACAGTTTCAAATTTCTAAAGGTTCAAAGCCCAAAGTTCCAAAAATCCAAAGTTTCAAAGGTCCAAAGTCCCAAATTTCCAAAAGTTTAAAAATCCAAAGTTTCAAAGCTTCAAAGTTCCAAAGGTTCAAAGCCCAAAGTTCCAAAAATCCAAAGTTTCAAAGGTCCAAATTTCCAAAAGTTCAAAGGTCAACAGTTTCAAATTTTCAAAGGTTCAAAGCCCAAAGTTCCAAAAATCCAAAGTTCCAAATTTCCAAAAGTTTAAAAATCCAAAGTTTCAAAGCTTCAAAGTTCCAAAGGTTCAAAGCCCAAAGTTCCAAAAATCCAAAGTTTCAAAGGTCCAAAGTCCCAAATTTCCAAAAGTTCAAAAATCCGAAGTTTCAAAGCTCCAAAGTTCCAAAATTTCAAAGTTCCAAAGCTTCAAAATTTCAAACTTTCAAAATTATCGAACTCAAATTAAACTTCTGTTATAAATTATTCTACTGTGAGCCAAACGTGAAGATAAATACACTTACAACTTTCCTCTGTCTCAATAAATTCTTAGTCACAAGTTCTATAGATCGCGGTTGACGAATAAATCATAGAGCAAAGGGTTGAAGAATTCCAAGTCTCGGAAGACTGTAATCGCTTCGTAGCGAACGCGGAAAGTTGTAATCGGAATAACGAAATCGGAGTTCGGCAAAAACGAACTAGGAAAACAATCGTAACGCGAAGGGTTCCGTTTCTGATTCGCTGAGCTTTTCGTTTCTGGCGTGGATAGCCGTTGCGCAATCTCGGGCCGATTTGTCGGGAAAATTACGCGATTACACAACGCCGGACGGTTTTGATCGGTCGAGGGCCCTCCCCACGAAACGCGGATTACGTTTACGATAACACGAAATTACACAACGGGACGTTGCGTGCTCGCGTGCGTGCCACCGGGCCCGAAACGCGAGCCGAAAAGCAACGAGGTTGATCTGCCTTCCAATCGCCGTTTCGTTTCGTTTCGGTTCGGCGTTTTCAAGCTGACTGTCATTGACTTTTACCATCCCGGTCGACCGGTGCCCGCCGGCTGCGTTTTACTTTCTAGAACCGTTACCGGACCGCGACTAATTCGTTGCGTCGAGATCACGATAAATTCGCTCGGTCCGAAGTCGCGAGGTTGCACTCTTCGCGCGTTCACTGACGGTCACCAAAATAGTCAAGTGAAACGATTGCTGATGGAATAGTACGTTTAATAATGTACGCAGCTAAAGGAATGGAGTAAGAACGGTGATATTCAGTGCTTTTAATGTGACTTATCTTTACTACGAAAGGAATAATTTAGTGTCAATGGAAGATTGATTGTTGTCGATTGATTGTGTTCAATAAATGTATGACGTCTGCGTAGTATGGCTATCAATCATATAATTTAAAAATGGTTGTATAATATACTATTGCAGTTTCAAAGATGTATGAAACTGGTAGTCTATGATTATTGAAAAATACTATGTCTCTCAAAGCGCGTACTTTCTCTGAGAATTATGGAAATCGCGAGTGATCATAGGATCCTGGATCGTTGTACGCTCATTTTGGGATGCCTGGGAATTTATTCGACTGTTCAGCAAGCTTTTTAATAGAAGGGAACTTTCCTTTATTGTCAGTTTCTTTGGAAACGCTGTAGAAACTGCGATTCGCGTGAAGGTTCGAGTAACGAGATTCAAACGGTAACGTACGCCGCCATTTTTGTTCGACAGCCTGCTTCTGTGGACTTTGAACTTTGATGGAGTTATTTCTCGGCGTGATGATTGCCAGCGAGCGTGCAGTGATTTACAGGTGTTTAAGACGATAAGCCAGTGGGAACGCGGGTTTTACTTTCGTCGGCAGAAGAGTCTCATGGGACAAGAGTTGTGAATCTCTCGGGCCGCGCGATTATTTTCCATTGTGCGAGTCCGAGAAAGTGTATTTTCTCGGGATCTTTCACATCGCGGCCGTCTCGCGTTGTGCGCGATTTCTGAGCGGCACCGAAACGATAATTAACCTTTTCTCAGATCGCGATCGTATCCCGCGGTTCTCGCGTCCTCCGCGGACGTTTGTTTGTAGGCTTAAGCGATCGCGTGCTTGGAATATGGGTTAGGGTACCGGGAACCAAAATGGCGTACGAGGATTCTTTACTTTGTAGAACCTGGGAATGATTCGCTTTTCTTCTCTTCTGCTGACTCACAAATACCCTATTTTTTATTTTAAAGCTTTTGAATTTTTGAATTTTCAAATTTCCAACGTTTCAAAGTTCCAAATTTCCGAAGGTCCAAAGTTTCCAAATTCCAAAGTTCTAAATTTCAAAATTTCCAAAGGTCCAAAGGTCCAATGGTTCAAAGTTTCAAAGTTTCAAAGTTTCAAAGTTCAAAGACTCCAAAGTTCCAAAGCTTAAAAATTTCAAAATTCCAAAGTTTTGGACATTCAAAGTTTCAAAGTTTCATAGCTCTAATGTTTCAAATTTTCAAATTTCGAATGTTCCAAATTTCCACTGTTCCAAATATTCAAATGTTCAAAATTTCCACTGTTCTAAATATTCAAATATTATAATCTTCAAATATACCAATTTTCAAGTATTCAAATCTTCAAAAATTCAAATCTTCAAATCCTCAAGTCCTCAAGTCCTCAAATTCTCAAGCCCTCAAGCTCTCAAGTCCTCAAATCCACAAACCTTCAAACTCTAAATTCGTAAATTTTCAAACTGTTTCCTATAAATCAGTGATCCCAAAAGTACAACAATCTGGTTGCCAAGTCGAATACCTGATATCCGATAGATCCGCGGCTACCTCAAAGGAATTCCATCGACAGCCAAAAGTGAAACGCGATCGCTTTCGGAACAGAAAGATTCGCTTCTCGTGTTCCCGATCGATTAACGCGAGAAAAGCTAACGAAGAAACCGTGTCTGGATCGTCGCGGATCTTATCCGCGAGGATCGCAGAGTAGTCCGTCGATCACGCGGAATTCCGGACCGGAAAGTATCCGAGAGCCGGAAGCCTCCGCGTACGCGGAGCGCGCGCGTTTCGATTTCACTGTTCGAGAGGATTGTCAAAATGCTTCGGAAACGGGCTGGATCACGCGTCACTTTCTATTCGGCCGGCCGACGCGGAGAGGAAACAGCTGAGTCACTGTGAACGCGGATAAAATCACGTTTTGATCGGTAGACGGTGCAGCCTCCGTGATAACTGACTCGATCGAGGAAAATGATTGAGCAATTCATCGGCTGCAGAGATTGGTAATCAATTAAATGAAAAGTAGGAGCATTTAATAACATTACACGCGTAGGAAACATAAAGGAAACTTCTTTCTAATAAGAAAGTCACTGAAAAAGTTACTAAAACCATTTAATAAGTATAATTGGTCATTTTCATCTCTAATCCACGCGATTTCCCATTGGAAATTAATCTCCCACTCAGTATTGCCATAGTTTCTTTCGTTAATTGATAGTTACAGGTGAAAATTATTACCTACGAAAAGATTAAGAAGAACGTTTCCTTGATTCTTCGACGAATTTCTTTCCGGATTCGATCAGCGGTCGTCGAAAATTTGGAAATTTATGTTACTTTTCACTTTCTCGGTTTCCGAGAATAATTGAAACGCGAGCGAAGAGTATGGCTCGCGTCGATGTGTTTGTTTCTCATAATCGAACCGTCGATCGCTGCGAATCGATTACGAACACGCGAGAATCACTCGTGTAGGATCGTCTTCTCGGTGGGCCGATCGGGGCCCGCGATATTTTGCCATCGTCGCTTTCGAATTTCCTGCGGCGAGGCCGGCTTTGGTAACGTCGACGGTTTCTCACTTTTCAATGGAAGCGAAGGGGCCACCGGGCGAACGGCTAATGGTCACCTTACGCGATCGGACTCGTTCTCTTTTCGCCGAACGGTCTCGCGATCGACGCGTGGAAAAATCGTCGCCGCGGTTTCCTTTTTCAACAATGCAACTATGAAGTTTCCAAGAACCTATGAAACTCTTCCAGTTGTTCAGTAAAAGTATCATCGCGTTTCTCCCGAAACGATCTCAACGGGTCAAAGTTCGAGGAATGTGACTCGAAATGTCGAAACTCTGTAGAAACAGTATCATTTCCTAAACATTTAACCCTTTGCTCGGGAGACAACTTTTAGTCGCCAGATGGTCGGACGCAGCACAATTACGAAGTTCCACATTTAACGTTCAATCTTGTCTGAGTAATTAGTATACAAAATATTGAACAGCTTTCTTTCATTTACATATGATTTATCTTTAAATCGGCTATAGATGGTGAATATTTTTAGCGAAGCCACCCAGCGCACATAGCAATCAGAGATACCAATCAACTTTAAAAATCGAGTCCAATACCGACTCAATAATGTTACCATTTAGTTTTAATCCAGCCACAAACAAGAACCAGAGAACCACTCTCGAAAATCAACGACCCTCGATCTTCCAGAATCATCCAACCCCCAGAGAACGAAAATCACCCCTACCTTCAAACCGTGTACCTCAGGATCCCGCAGAATCCCCGTCGAGGTTGCAATATCCCCAATTCGCTGGTCCTCTAAGTGTAATCCTTGCCAAGTACGAACGTCATCGAGAACGAACTATTAAACAGCATTGGTCCCCCTCCGGTCAAACTGTCATCCGTCTGTGACCGTATGCATCCGGATAAGAGGAGGCGATCGACAATTCCGATTTCCTTCCTCCCTTTTCCTCCCCGATTTCTTTTTGCACCAGCACACAACACTAGCAGCAGCGAATGAGAGGGAATCTTTTACGATCTGGACCCAAAACTGGCACACAGCACCCGTCTATTAAATGCCGCGGCGATCCGTCGATGGAAACGGGGCACGAGGGCCTCGGGAAAAGGTGTATCGACGGTGAACAGGAGGTCCGGGGGCCTAGGTGTCTTGTCCTCCGCGACTTTCGAGTCCTGACGCGAGACTGAGGCGGTCACAGCCGAGTAGAATCGAGGCCCGGCTAACTCCAACCTGCCCCGCGTGTCTTTCTCCCTTCCTCTTTCCTCTTCGTCTTCTTCTGCATCGTCGCCTCCCTCTCTGCCGCGTTCCCACCACCGACCGGCGACGCCGCCGAGCCGCTACGCGTCCTTACCGCCACCTTTCTTCGCCGGCCGCCCCTCCTTCTACCTGTCGTCCTTCCATCGGGGATTTTTCAAAACTCCTGCGGCATGGCGAGCCAGTTTCTGCGCCCCCCGAGCTGGACCCTTTCTGTCGGATTTCGAGCGACATCGACTTTCCGCGTTTCTTTTGATCCGCCGATCGAAGCTTGGGATTTTCTATGTGAT